TGATAGTCCAGCTGGCTGATTCGCTGGTTGGCTGGGGTCGTTGATAGTCCAGCTGGCTGATTCGCTGGTTGGCTGGGGTCGTTGATAGTCCAGCTGGCTGATTCGCTGGTTGGCTGGGGTCGTTGATAGTCCAGCTGGCTGATTCGCTGGTTGGCTGGGGTTGTTGGTTGTCTAGCTGGCTAATGCGCTGGTTGGCTGGGGTTGTTGGTTGTCTAGCTGGCTAATGCGCTGGTTGGCTGGGGTTGTTGGTTGTCTAGCTGGCTAATGCGCTGGTTGTCTGGGGTCGTTGATAGTCCAGCTGGCTGATTCGCTGGTTGGCTGGGGTTGTTGGTTGTCTAGCTGGCTAATGCGCTGGTTGTCTGGGGTCGTTGATAGTCCAGCTGGCTGATTCGCTGGTTGGCTGGGGTCGTTGATAGTCCATCTGGCTGATGCGCTGGTTGGCTGGGGTCGTTGGTAGTCTAGCTGGCTGATTCGCTGGTTGGCTGGGTTTGCTGGTTGTCTAGCTGACTGACGCGCTGATTGGCTGGGGTTTTTGGTTGTCTAGCCTCTTGATTTGCTGGTTGACTGGGATCGTATGTTGTCCATCTGGCTAATGCGCTGACTGGGTGGTTAAAAATAATAAAGATAATATGCGTAATTTTCTAGTTTGATACATCAGTCTTCAGGTGGTTTAATCTCTGAGAGTTTGCGTCCATGGGAATTTGATTTGGATGAGTGGTCTCTTGACTGGGTATACTCTATGGTACCGACTACTAAACATGTGAAATAGACAAACATGTGAAATAGACAAACATGTGAAATAGACAAACATGTGTGACTATCTGGTGTTTGATAATTATGCTTGATTTTACATGCGATGCCTAAAATAAATAAGTGGCAGGACAAGATCGCAAACACTGAGGTACTGGATAGAGCAGTTATTACAATAGTCTTCGTAATGTTCAGTCTACGAAGGCTCAGGTGGCCGGGACACATCTGGAGAATGGAGGAGTTCATAAGGACATCTTCTATGGTGCATTAAAGGCAGTAAGACGATGTCGAGGCCTACCTTTGCCACGATATAAAGATGTGTGCAAGCGGGACATGAATGATAAAGGTACTGATGTGGACTGGTGTGAACAAAATACTATGGACCCTGTTTCATGGCGGGGGCACGCCAAAAATAGAAGGAGAATGGAGGAAGTAATGACTACAGAAAAGATGAGAGCGGATCATCTGAGAAGAAATACTAAACACAAATTGTTGACAATACTTGTCCCTAAATTCCATTGTGAAAAACTTTTCTTAACGCCTGCGGGTCTTGCTAGTCACACTCGCCATCACCATGGGCTATAAGTCGTATTCTCCCTCATAGCGTAATATAACACTATCGTCTGAAAAGATGGAAAGGCGCCAGGAAATCGATCAGTCAACGAGGTATGAGATCCTCCAGGTTGGTCAGTCTGGACACAAATGGTTATTCAGAGACAGCTTTTTACAGTTATGAATTTAAATACGGCACACAAACTAAGCCTTCACAACCCTGACCATTCACAACCCTTTACAACCCTGACTCTCCACAACCGTGACCCTTTACAACCCTGATCCTGCAGTCCTGTCACAACCCTGACCCTTTACAACCCTGACACTCCACAACCGTGACCCTTTACAATCCTGTCAGAACACTGATTCTTGACAACCCTGACCCTTCACGATCCTGTCACAACACTAACCCTTTACAACCCTGACACTTCACGATACTGTCACAACACTAACCCTTTACAACCCTGACACTTCACGATACTGTCACAACACTAACCCTTTACAACCCTGACCATTCACGGTACTGTCACAACACTAACCCTTTACAACCCTGACACTTCACAGTCCTGTCACAACCCTGACCCTTCACAAACCTAACGTTCACAGCTCTGACACATCACAACTTCGACCGATTACAACCCTGACCTCATGTCTCAAAACCCTGACCCTTCACAAACCTAACGTTCACAGCTCTGACACATCACAACTTCGACCGGGTACACGAGGGGCTATGTCTGTACCTAGTTCAGCTTCACTGCTGACAGCCTGGCTGTTGAGGTTACGAGGGGCTAGTAAGAGTTCATCTTCACTGCTTGAGCCTGCCTGTTGAGGGTACGAGGGGCTAGTAAGAGTTCAGCTTCACTATTTGAGCCTGGCTGTTGAGGGTACGAGGGGCTAGTACAAGTTCAGCTTCACTGCTTGAGCCTGGCTGTTGAGGTTACGAGGGGCTAGTAAGAGTTCAGCTTCACTACTTGAGCCTGGCTGTTGAGGGTACGAGGGGCTAGTAAGAGTTCAGCTTCACTGCTTGAGCCTGGCTGTTGAGGGTACGAGGGGCTAGTAAGAGTTCATCTTCACTATTTGAGCCTGGCCCACAGTCTCTCGATATATGTAATACGTAATGACAGACATCCCAGAGCCACAGATTCTTGAAGGCTGTTGCCAAAAATAATCTAAAGCGATTTGAGTCATCGTATACTTCTAGGATAATATTAATCTTGGCGTCCACATAGTTGGAAACTGACTGATCCGGCAGTGATCAAATGGTTTTCTGTCTCTACAGGCTGCTGTCTGTCCCAGCTCTTCAAAGAGGACGCCTGCCTGCCCGGACAACATCGTGAACTCACTGACACCTCCAGAAGTATAGGTAACTATTACACACTCAGCACATCTATGTCTGTGTCACTGTCTTTCCTGTCCTTGTCTGTGTCACTGACTTTTTCCTGTTCTTGTCTGTGTCACTGTCTTTCCTGTGCCTGTCTGCGTCACTTTCTTACCTGTGTCTGTCTGTGTCACTGTCTTTCCTGTCATTGTCTGTGTCACTGTCTCACCTGTCCTTGTCTGTGTCACTGTCTTTCCTGTCCTTGTCTGTGTCACTGTCTTTCCTGTGCCTGTCTGTGTCACTGTTTCACTTGTCCTTGTCTGTGTCATTGTCTCACCTGTACTTGTCTGTATCACTGTCTCACCCGTGCTTGTCTGTGTCACTTTCTTTCCTGTGTCTGTCTGTGTCACTGTCTTTCCTGTGTCTGTCTGTGTCACTTTCTTTCCTGTGTCTGTCTGTGTCATTGTCTTTCCTGTGTCTGTCTGTGTCACTGTCTTTCCTGTGTCTGTCTGTGTCACTGTCTTTCATGTGTCTGTCTGTGTCACTGTCTTTCCTGTGTCTGTCTGTGTCACTGTCTGTCCTATGTCTGTCTGTGTCAATATCTCTCCTGTGCCTGTCTGTGTAACTCTCTCACCTGTGCTTGTCTGTGTCACTGTCTGTCATGTGTCTGTCTGTGTCACTGTCTTTCCTGTGTCTGTCTGTGTCACTGTCTTTCCTGTGTCTGTCTGTTACCTTCTTTCATGTCCTTGTCTGTGTCACTGTCTTTCCTGTGTCTGTCTGTGTCACTGTCTTTCCTGTGTCTGTCTGTGTCACTTTCTTTCCTGTGTCTGTCTGTGTCATTGTCTTTCCTGTGTCTGTCTGTGTCACTGTCTTTCCTGTGTCTGTCTGTGTCACTGTCTTTCATGTGTCTGTCTGTGTCACTGTCTTTCCTGTGTCTGTCTGTGTCACTGTCTGTCCTATGTCTGTCTGTGTCAATATCTCTCCTGTGCCTGTCTGTGTAACTCTCTCACCTGTGCTTGTCTGTGTCACTGTCTGTCATGTGTCTGTCTGTGTCACTGTCTTTCCTGTGTCTGTCTGTGTCACTGTCTTTCCTGTGTCTGTCTGTTACCTTCTTTCATGTCCTTGTCTGTGTCACTGTCTTTCCTGTGTCTGTCTGTGTCACTGTCTTTCCTGTAGCTGTCTGTGTCACTGTCTTTCATGTGCTTGTCTGTGTCACTGTATTTCCCGTCTTTGTCTGTGTCACTATCTTTCCTGTTCCTGTCTGTGTCACTGTCTTTCCTGTAGCTGTCTGTGTCACTGTCTTCCCTGTGTCTGTCTGTCTTACATGTAGCTAATCCTGTCAAGTCTGTCAGAGGTCAGACATTTCTGACGTTAATTTGCTGATTGGGGGGGGGGGGGGGGGGAGGGAGGGGTGGGATTCTTGTCAAAACTGCTACTTCCCATATTTATTGTTGCATTAAATCTGTACGTACATCATGTTGTCTATTTCTAATACATCTGCATATCCATCATTCATTTTGGTATCTGATCCACGATTAGTTGGACTTTTAAAATTAGTCTGCTGGTAGTTTTTCTCTTGAAGGTTTTCCTGCAGCGGATGAGCTAAAAGTCTGTTGAGGTTTTCAGGTCGGTAATGATGCTAGTGCTAGTTGCCTTCTTCAAGGAATGCTAAGTAGGGCAGATTTCTCTCAACTTAAGTTTAACATCAAGAGCATTGACATCATTACAGAACGACTAACCGTCTACCGAGAAGTCACAAAAAGCAGTGATTCCCTAGCTCCAGAGACGACTACCTTGGGATCTCCACAAATATTTTACTCGTGAACTAACCGACGCAGTCAGTGAAACGAATCTACAATCTCCAGAGAACGATTCAAACGGCTCCACCCCGTCGTCGTCAGGGACTATTTCTTTGACAGAAGTGCGTTCCATGCTCTATGTATTGTTTTTCAGCTTACCAAATTTATCTGTTTTGTCCCAAATGTATTTTTGCTGCAGAAACAAATCATCGTGTGGAGTGTTCCACACAGGGCTAACGTGCTGGGAGCAATACAACAATTGTAAAACAAGTAGTGTTCAATTACCGATAAACAATGCTTGCGTAAATACTGTTGTAGTTTCTCCCACTGATGTTCTGACCAAATCAAAGTGGCCACATTCACTGGACGCCAAATTCCGTAGTGTACTGTTAGCGTTGACTCCTCAGCCATTGCTGCCGGTCAGTATAGCAGCAGTTAGCCATTGACCATTCTGATTTCAGGTTTTGATACCCGCCCGTCTGACAACATACTCTGCGATAACACCCTGCGCAGGGGCTGGTACAAATTCACTGGTTTGGGCGGAGTGGCTCTTGAGATGGCTACGTCCTGCCCTGGAACAGATTCGTGTGGTACTACAATACCCATCTGGCTCAATGGACGGCACCCAACAGTTGAAGGTCAGAGTTCATGTGGTAATACTGTACATATCTTACTGACAAGCTTTTCATGTTGCAAAGATGAATATCTCTTCGTCGTCTTCCGTTTCCGACCTAAACAAAGTGGCCGTTGCTTTTGTGTGTGCTTTACAGTAAGGCTACAATATTTATGACTTTTGGCCAATCGTCATCGATTTCAGCAACAAATAATTAGCCACCTGTCAAAACAGTTAAGTGCCATTGTGTGTGTGTGTGTCTATGTGTGTGTGTGTGTGTATGTATGTGTGTGTATGTGTGTGTATGTGTGTGTGTGTGTATGTGTGTGTGTATATATATATATATGTGTGTGTGTGTGTGTGTGTATCTCAGTGTGTATGCATGTTTGTGTATGTTTGTGTGCGCATGCGCCTACAATAATTCTGTCAAACCCACAAGTAAAGAAGATATGTTTTATTCTAACAGAATGAAGTTTCAGAAGTTAGGTAACCCCCGGTCAGGACATTCACTGTGTGGGTGTGTGACGTCACCACCTGCCCAGTTAGAAAATCTGCCTTGCTCCTGTAGTTCTTACCGGACCCTCTAGTCTCTGCTCCCACTTTCACAAGTTCTGTAACTGATCGATCCTATTTTCTTCCTCTCGTATTTAACCCTATTCAGTCATTGATGCAAGTACCCAGCGTACACGTTAACCCAAACGCATTTCCTATAGAAAGTATAGTCAAATGTGTGTGGTCATGACAGCTGCCCAACTTCAGATCAAAGCTATATGAATTGTTGAGCTACTGCAACACGTTGTAAACTCTCGCTAAAAGTCACTCTATTGTAGTCTGAGGTAGACCTGACTGATGTAAGCTACTGCAACGCAATCGTTGATGTAAGCTACTGCAACGTAATCTTTGATGTAAGCTACTGCAACGTAATCTTTGATGTAAGCTACTGCAACGTAATCTTTGATGTAAGCTACTGCAACGCAATCTTTGATGTAAGCTACTGCAACGCAATCTTTGATGTAAGCTACTGCAACGTAATCTTTGATGTAAGCTACTGCAACGCAATCTTTGATGTAAGCTACTGCAACGTATTCTTTGATGTAAGCTACTGCAACGCAATCTTTGATGTAAGCTACTGCAACGCAGTCTTTGATGTAAGCTACTGCAACGTAATCTTTGATGTAAGCTACTGCAACGCAATCTTTGATGTAAGCTACTGCAACGCAATCTTTGATGTAAGCTACTGCAACGCAATCTTTGATGTAAGCTACTGCAACGTAATCTTTGATGTAAGCTACTGCAACGTAATCTTTGATGTAAGCTACTGCAACGTAATCTTTGATGTAAGCTACTGCAACGTAATCTTTGATGTAAGCTACTGCAACGTAATCTTTGATGTAAGCTACTGCAACGTAATCTTTGATGTAAGCTACTGCAACGTAATCTTTGATGTAAGCTACTGCAATGTAATCTTTGATGTAAGCTACTGCAACGCAATCTTTGATGAACGCTTCTGAAATCTTCCCTTCCTGCCTTCAGAATTTCCTCTCCTTTATATCAAGAGATTTAACCTCTACAGCGTTAAGAAATCCTAGTCAGGATGGCATCCCGAACCAGGCAAATCCTAGATACCCCAGTCAGGATGGCATCCCGAACCAGGCAAATCCTAGATACCTCAGTCAGGATGGCATCCCGAACCAGGCAGATCCTAGATACCCCAGACAGGATGGCATCCCGAACAAGGCAAATCCTAGATACCTCAGTCAGGATGGCATCCCGAACCAGGCAAATCCTAGATACCTCAGTCAGGATGGCATCCTGAACCAGGCAAATCCTTGATACCTCAGTCAGGATGGCATCCCGAACAAGGCAAATCCTAGATACTCCAGACAGGATGGCATCCCGAACAAGGCAAATCCTAGATACCCCAGTCAGGATGGCATCCCGAACAAGGCAAATCCTAGATACCCCAGTCAGGATGGCACCCCGAAGAAGGCAAATCCTAGATACCCCAGTCAGGATGGCATCCCGAACAAAGCAAATCCTAGATACCCCAGTCAGGATGGCATCCCGAACAAGGCAAATCCTAGATACCCCAGTCAGGATGGCATCCCGAACAAGGCAAATCCTAGATACCCCAGTCAGGATGGCATCCCGAACAAGGCAAATCCTAGATACCCCAGTCAGGATGGCATCCCGAACAAGGCAAATCCTAGATACCCTAGACAGGATGGCATCACAAACAAGGCAAATCCTAGATACCCCAGACAGGATGGCATCCCGAACAAGGCAAATCCTAGATACCCCAGTCAGGATGGCATCCCGAACAAGGCAAATCCTAGATACCCCAGACAGGATGGCATCCCGAACAAGGCAAATCCTAGATACCCCAGTCAGGATGGCATCCCGAACAAGGCAAATCCTAGATACCCCAGTCAGGATGGCATCCCTAACAAGGCAAATCCTAGATACCCCATTCAGGATGGCATCCCGAACAAGGCAAATCCTAGATACCCCATTCAGGATGGCATCCCGAACAAGGCAAATCCTAGATACCCCTTTCAAAATCGAAATAAATTATAATCGGGTCTCTAGTCTGATGAAACCTGCAGTTAGGTACGGGTGGTGATGATTCCAAACACTTAGCTACAACCACCTGGTTGTTGAAGGTTTCTATAGTCTAATCTTAAGATATATGGTCACATTATAGGTGTCCAGTCCAAGGATACAATGGTCATTTTATGTGTGATCCAGTCTTAAGATACAATAGTCACATTATGTGTAGTCTAATCCTAAGATCCAATAGTCACATTATGTGTAATCTAATCCGGAGATACAATAGTAACATTATGTGTAGTCTAATCCTGAGATACAATAGTAACATTATGTGTAGTCTAATCCTGAGATACAATAGTCACATTATGTGTAATCTAATCCTGAGATACAATAGTAACATTATGTGTAATCTAATCCTGAGATACAATAGTAACATTATGTGTAATCTAATCCTGAGATACAATAGTCACATTATGTGTAGTCTAATCCTGAGATCCAATAGTCACATTATGTGTAGTCTAATCCTGAGATACAATAGTCACATTATGTGTAGTCTAATCCTGAGATACAATAGTCACATTATGTGTAGTCTAATCCTGAGATACAATAGTCACATTATGTGTAGTCTAATCCTGAGATACAATAGTCATATTATGTGTAGTCTAATCCTGAGATACAATAGTCACATTATGTGTAGTCTAATCCTAAGATCCAATAGTCACATTATGTGTAATCTAATCCGGAGATACAATAGTAACATTATGTGTAGTCTAATCCTGAGATACAATAGTAACATTATGTGTAGTCTAATCCTGAGATACAATAGTAACATTATGTGTAATCTAATCCTGAGATACAATAGTAACATTATGTGTAATCTAATCCTGAGATACAATAGTCACATTATGTGTAGTCTAATCCTGAGATACAATAGTAACATTATGTGTAATCTAATCCTGAGATACAATAGTAACATTATGTGTAATCTAATCCTGAGATACAATAGTAACATTATGTGTAATCTAATCCTGAGATACAATAGTCACATTATGTGTAATCTAATAATGAGATACAATAGTCACATTATGTGTAGTCTAATCCTGAGATCCAATAGTCACATTATGTGTAGTCTAATCCTGAGATACAATAGTAACATTATGTGTAGTCTAATCCTGAGATCCAATAGTAACATTATGTGTAATCTAATCCTGAGATACAATAGTAACATTATGTGTAATCTAATCCTGAGATACAATAGTCACATTATGTGTAATCTAATAATGAGATACAATAGTTACATTATGTGTAGTCTAATCCTGAGATCCAATAGTCACATTATGTGTAGTCTAATCCTGAGATCCAATAGTCACATTATGTGTAGTCTAATCCTGAGATACAATAGTCACATTATGTGTAGTCTAATCCTGAGATACAATAGTCACATTATGTGTAGTCTAATCCTGAGATCCAATGGTCATATTATGTGTAGTCTAATCCTGAGATACAATAGTCACATTATGTGTAGTCTAATCCTAAGATCCAATAGTCACATTATGTGTAATCTAATCCGGAGATACAATAGTAACATTATGTGTAGTCTAATCCTGAGATACAATAGTAACATTATGTGTAGTCTAATCCTGAGATACAATAGTAACATTATGTGTAATCTAATCCTGAGATACAATAGTAACATTATGTGTAGTCTAATCCTGAGATCCAATAGTCACATTATGTGTAGTCTAATCCTGAGATCTAATGGTCATATTATGTGTAGTCTAATCCTGAGATACAATCCAACATTATGTGTAGTCTAATCCTGAGATCCAATAGTCACATTATGTGTAGTCTAATCCTGAGATCTAATAGTCACTGAGATCTAATGGTCCAATAGTCATATATGTGTGTCTAGTCCTAATCCTCACATTATGTGTAGTCTAATCCTGAGATCTAATGGTCATATTATGTGTAGTCTAATCCTGAGATACAATAGTCACATTATGTGTAGTCTAATCCTAAGATACAATAGTCACATTATGTGTAGTCTAATTCTGAGATACAATAGTCACATTATGTGTAGTCTAACCCTGAGATCCAATAGTCACATTATGTGTAGTCTAATCCTGAGATACAATAGTCACATTATGTGTGGTCCAAACCGTTCATGACGATAGGGGCTATTGTAGCATAGAGACTGGGAAGGAGCTTGCCTGCCAGATCGAAGATCACTGGTTCAGACTCGACTGTGGCCCTCAGGTCGACCAGCCTAACATTTGTAAGAGATGATGGTCCATGGAAGTAGAGACGTCCCGGCCACATCAGCCATCGAGTGCTGGTTGGTCTAATTGGTCTAAAACAAATACGTCTAGCATCATATCATTAATAGCCAAAGGCGGGGAGGGGGTGGGGTTGATCCTGTTTATTGGGGTTTAATTCGTGAAAGGTGTGTGGCGCATTTCTTTGTTGGAGCAGTCGCATCCTCTTTGTTGGAGCAGTCGCATCCTCTTTGTTGGAGCAGTCGCATCCTCTTTTGTTGGAGCAGTCGCATCCTCTTTTGTTGGAGCAGTCGCATCCTCTTTTGTTGGAGCAGTCGCATCCTCTTTGTTGGAGCAGTCGCATCCTCTTTGTTGGAGCAGTCGCATCCTCTTTTTGTTCGCATCCTCTTTTGTTGGAGCAGTCGCATCCTCTTTTGTTGGAGCAGTCGCATCCTCTTTTGTTGGAGCAGTCGCATCCTCTTTTGTTGGAGCAGTCGCATCCTCTTTTGTTGGAGCAGTCGCATCTTTTGTTGGAGCATCGCTCTCTTTTGTTGGAGCAGTCGCATCCTCTTTTGTTGGAGCAGTCGCATCCTCTTTTGTTGGAGCAGTCGCATCCTCTTTTGTTGGAGCAGTCGCATCCTCTTTTGTTGGAGCAGTCGCATCCTCTTTTGTTGGAGCAGTCGCATCCTCTTTTGTTGGAGCAGTCGCATCCTCTTTTGTTGGAGCAGTCGCATCCTCTTTTGTTGGAGCAGTCGCATCCTCTTTGTTGGAGCAGTCGCATCCTCTTTTGTTGGAGCAGTCGCATCCTCTTTTGTTGGAGCAGTCGCATCCTCTTTTGTTGGAGCAGTCGCATCCTCTTTTGTTGGAGCAGTCGCATCCTCTTTTGTTGGAGCAGTCGCATCTTTTGTTGGAGCAGTCGCATCCTCTTTTGTTGGAGCAGTCGCATCCTCTTTTGTTGGAGCAGTCGCATCCTCTTTTGTTGGAGCAGTCGCATCCTCTTTTGTTGGAGCAGTCGCATCCTCTTTTGTTGGAGCAGTCGCATCCTCTTTTGTTGGAGCAGTCGCATCCTCTTTTGTTGGAGCAGTCGCATCCTCTTTTGTTGGAGCAGTCGCATCCTCTTTTGTTGGAGCAGTCGCATCCTCTTTTGTTGGAGCAGTCGCATCCTCTTTTGTTGGAGCAGTCGCATCCTCTTTTGTTGGAGCAGTCGCATCCTCTTTTGTGTGAGGAGATATTCTAGTCCAATCCCCGACCAGCAGAAAAAGAGTCAACTTTTTGCTAGAATGTAACTAAATATCCGATCAGCAGAAAAAGGGTCAACTTTTTGCTAGAATGTAACTAAATATCCCATCAGCAGAAAAAGGGTCAACTTTTTGCTAGAATGTAACTAAATATCCGATCAGAAAAAGGGTCAACGTTTTGCTAGAATGTAACTAAATATCCGATCAGCAGAAAAAAGGGACAACTTTTTGCTAGAATGTAGCTAAATATCCGATCAGCAGAAAAAGGGTCAACTTTTTGCTAGAATGTCACTAAATATCCGATCGGCAGAAAAAGGGTCAACTTTTTTGCTAGAATGTAACTAAATATCCTATCAGCAGAAAAAGGGTCAACTTTTTGCTAGAATGTCACTAAATATCCGATCAGCTATTTTCTTGCCCACAATTATGCCATTAAAGATGTCTTACAAATTCTGATTAGATGGTTCTATGTTATCTTCCTCTGACCCTCCTAGTTCCATCCACACAAATACTGATCCGTATTTTTCCAAATTTTTTTAATGCCCCATGTTTTTCACCCCCACCCCTTTATCCACCACCAATCCTCCTGTGTATTTATTCCACGAATATCTTTTCCGTTAATACCTCCCACGTAATACTTAACCTTAAATAACAACACATAGGATAGGTGTTACTGCAGCTACATGATCGCCTCCTCCTACTGAGCATGATACATCATAATCAAGTGGTTACAAGGCCTAGTCAAAATTGTCTCTGATGAGAACATTGACACAATCATGTCTAAATCAAATCTCTCAGTCTCTGTTGCGTCCCTTACAGACGGCATCGTCAGCGTGACCTTGTGTGGCAAGAGCGACAGAAACCAGCTGGATTGCTGCCAGTACAACGATGAGATGTTTGTGAAGAACTGCAACGGGTTCTACGTCTACTACCTCAACCCAAGCCTGGTCTGTCCCAGTCGCTACTGTGCCGGTGAGTGATTTCTCCATGTATCTGTATGCTTTTCTGAGTGTTGTCTCTATCAGTCAAAATCAACATTCGACTTTTACCCCTGGTATCATTGACCTGGAAGTCGCCGTGGCCGAGCGGCTAGACGCTCGCCGCGGATCAGAAGGTCGTGGGTTCGCTCCCTGGCGGAGACGGACTTTTCTTTGAATATGACCTTGGCTCCCAGGTCGACCCAGCCTTGAGTGGGTACCGGGTGCAATCCCGGGAAGTAGAGGCGGCCGGCGTGATGCTGACCACATCACCCATCTTGTGCCGTTGGTCTATAAAAATATAGGTCTAGCCCTATATGCCCTATACGCCTAAAGACGTGGAAAGGGTCCTTTACTTTTCTTTTTTTTATAATTGACCTGATTTTCGCCTGTTCGGGTTGGTAAACAATATTTCGTCTCGTCCACCGGGTTTAACAACACATCATATTTCGTCTCGTCCACCGGGTTTAACATCACATCATATTTCGTCTCGTCCACCGGGTTTAACAACACATCATATTTCGTCTCGTCCACCGGGTTTAACAACACATCATATTTCGTCTCGTCCACCCGGTTTAACAACACATCATATTTCGTCTCGTCCACCGGGTTTAACAACACATCATATATCGTCTCGTCCACCGGGTTTAACAACACATCATATTTCGTCTCGTCCACCGAGTTTAACAACACATCATATATCGTCTCGTCCACCGGGTTTAACAACACATCATATTTCGTCTTGTCCACCGGGTTTAACAACACATCATATATCGTCTCGTCCACCGGGTTTAACATCACATCATATTTCGTCTCGTCCATCGGGTTTAACAACACATCATATTTCGTCTCGTCCACCGGGTTTAACAACACATCATATTTCGTCTCGTCCACCGAGTTTAACAACACATCATATATCGTCTCGTCCACCGGGTTTAACAACACATCATATTTCGTCTTGTCCACCGAGTTTAACACCACATCATATATCGTCTCGTCCACCGGGTTTAACATCACATCATATTTCGTCTCGTCCATCGGGTTTAACAACCCATCATATTTCGTCTCGTCCACCGAGTTTAACAACACATCATATTTCGTCTCGTCCACCAGGTTTAACAACACATCATATATCGTCTCGTCAACCGAGTTTAACAACACATTATATTTCGTCTCGTCCACCGGGTTTAACAACACATCATATTTCGTCTCGTCCACCGGGTTTAACAACACATCATATTTCGTCTCGTCCACCGGGTTTAACAACACATCATATTTCGTCTGCCCCAGTTGTATGTCCTACTTCATGTTTCGACTGTCCCAGTTGTATGTCCCACTTCATGTTTCGACTATCTCATTGCGTATATCTACGCCTCGTGTTTCTAATGACATATCTGATAACCTGATGACCTTCAGATGACATGTCTGATGACCTTCAGATGACATATCTGATGACCTTCAGATGACATGTCTGATGACCTGATGACATGCAGATAACATTCTGATGCCCTTCAGATGACATGCCTGATGACATACAATAAGACATATGTGAAGACCTGTCTGATGACATACAATAAGACATAAGTGAAGACCTGTCTGATGACATACAATAAGACACATCTAAAGACCTGTCTGATGACATACAATAAGACATATGTGAAGACTTGTCTGATGACATGCATGAAGACATATCTGAAAACCTGTCTGATGACATGCATGAAGACATATCTGAAGACCTGTCTGATGACAAACATGGAGACATATGTGAAGACCTGTCTGATGACATGCATGAAGACATATCTGAAGACCTGTCTGATGACATACATGAAGACATATCTGAAAACCTGTCTGATGACATGCATGAAGACATATGTGAAGACCTGTCTGATGACATACAATAAGACATATCTGAATTCTTGTCTGATGACATGCATGAAGACATATGTAAAGGCCTGTCTGATGACATACAATAAGACATATCTGAAGACCTGTCTGATGACATGCATGAAGACATATCTGAAGACCTGTCCTGACATACAGGAAGATACATATGAAGACCTGTCTGATGACATACAATAAGACATATCTGAAGACCTGTCTGATGACATGCATGAAGACATATGTAAAGACCTGTCTGATGACATACAATAAGACATATCTGAAGACCTGTCTGATGACATGCATGTAGACATATCTGTAAACCTGTCTGATGACATACATGAAGACATATCTGAAAACCTGTCTGATGACATGCATGAAGACATATCTGAAGACCTGTCTGATGACATGCATGAAGACATATCTGAAGACCTGTCTGATGACATACATGAACACATATCTGGAGACCTGTTTGATGACATGCATGAAGACATATCTGAAGACTTGTCTGATGACATGCATGAAGACATATCTGAAGACCTGTCTGATGACATACATGAAGACATATCTGAAAACCTGTCTGATGACATGTATAAAGACATATGTGAAGACCTGTCTGATGACATGCATGAAGACATATCTGAAAAACTGTCTGATGACATGCATGAAGACATATGTGAAGACCTGTCTGATGACAAACATGAAGACATGTGTGAAGACCTGTCTGATGACATACATGAAGACATTTGTGAAGACGTGAAGACCTGTCTGATGACATGCATGAAGACATATGTGAAGACCTGTCTGATGACATACATGAAGACATATCTGAAAACCTGTCTGATGACATGCATGAAGAAATATGTGAAGACCTGTCTGATGACATGCATGAAGACATATGTGAAGACCTGTCTGATGACATACATGAAGACATATCTGAAGACCTGTCTGATGACATGCATGAACACATATCTGAAGACCTGTCTGACGCATAGATAGATGAAGTGAGTTGGGTATCTGCGAGCCTGTCTTTGTGTAATAGCTTAAACCTTGCCTCCTTTTTTTTTAGGTTCAGCTAAAAGGTGTCCAGTGGGCAAGTGGTCCAGTACTGGATTTGAACCCTGCCGGGGTAAGATGCAGTCACCTGTTTGTGAGCCTAGCTAGTTATTTCATCACTATTGCGGAGATGACCTCACTGTTGTACTAAATGTCTTTATTACATAAATGGAGTCAGAATATCCGCTCAGTTTAGGTATGCCTTTTCTTTTTCTGCTTCTTCTTCTCCTTCTACTCTTCCAACTCTTCCTCCTCATCCTCTATCCCGCTGCTATATCTTTTTCCCTTTTCCAACTCTTTCTTTCTGTCTCTTTTACACAATATTAGTAATATTGTAATATTACTCTTTTTCTCTAACAGTCTGTCTCAGTCTGTATGCATGTATGTATGTGTGTATGTGTTTTAATCTGTCTCTTATCCATTGGTCACTGTAGTCTCCTGTCCCTACTCCATGACTTTCGACACATTGACACAAATGTTTAATCCCACAGACCCAGCTCCCGTGCTGTCGCAGCCTCCAGTGGTCAAGGGACCCATAGTTGAAGCTGACCAGTCCTTTCATTTCCAGTGTGAGATCACCTATGGCCCGTCTGATGCAGACCAAGTGTTTGAAGTTTTCTGGACCTTCAATGGACGAACTGACCCCTCCATCAAACTACAAACACTGACCGCTGACCAGAGAGTGGCCACCTTAAGTGGTGACAAACTGGCAAGCCATCCAGACACGAATGTAAGTGGACATTTCATCTAAATCTTTTTTTTTTTCAGTTCATGTGGAAGGCTAGGGAAAGCCATGCAGTTTGTCAGCATTTTCTAGCCCTGAGGCATCTATAGCTGGGTCAACAGATCCACACAACAGATCCACACAACAGATCCACACAACAGATCCACACAACAGATCCACACAACAGATCCACACAACAGATACTGCTTTATAGAGCCAGTAATACAACCTGGTGTTCTCGAGAGCTTCAGTTAGGGGGAAGGTAAATGTACCTTCTGCCACGTGGCAAGCATGTCGTACAACGCCATAATTACCATAATTTGCCGATATCAAATGTTCTAGCCTGAGAAGTGCTACTCGTCGTTAAAGGGCGAACAGGAAAGAAAAGAAAGAGGCAACATAATGGACATTGTCATAAACCACTATAGACGCCTTCCTTTGCACTAAGTCATTAAATTCAGGTGTTTCCATTGAAGGCTCTTGTTGGTGGGTGACCAGATTTCACTCTAGCAACAAAACATTTGTTAGTTCTCAATGACAATGATGTCTTATGTCACATTTATCATACTTCTGATGTCTTATGTCACATCTATCATACTTCTGATGTCTTATGTCACATCTATCATACTTCTGATGTCTTATGTCACATCTATCATACTTTTGATGTCTTCCTGTCATCATGTGTATCGTCTGGTAACTTCAATAGCTTTTCTGAGGTATTTCGTCTTTCAAGTCAGGCGATCATTTTTCTCTAGTTAGGCATTGACATAGCCAACGCCCAGTATATCTTCTCTTAAGTGATCAGTTGTCGCTGGCTTGACACGGACATAGACCACGCCCAGTATATCTTCTCTTAAGTGATCGGTTGTCGCTGGTCCTACGTCGATATGGAAAAGACAATGAGAGCATCTTTTAGAAATAAACATACTCCTTGTCCCCCTGCTAAAGTTGGATTAAGGCCTACATTCGAGTATCGCCCGATTCACCGAAGCTGCTTTAAACCTGGTATCAAAATAATCGAAAACTATCTGACTTTCTATGTAGTATATAACTGTATTATTGTGCCCTTTGCGATTCACATCTGTCTGTTAGCATTTGATGTTTCAAGTGTAGTGCACAACCCAGCCTGACCATGTTATATCACACCTGTCTACAGGTAGGCTGTCAGGTAAATACATATTATGTGGGGCATGAGAAAGACAAGAAAACCTACAGCAGTAAGACGAACTATTTTGGAGTTCAGGTATGTCAACTCCAGTGTGTTTTCCTTGTAACTTTGTTTTAGTGTCGAGAAGTGTTCAGATGACGTGTTGTTTGCGTGGTGTTGGCGTTGTCTGTTGACTTGTTGTCAACGTTGTCTGACGATGTGTAGTTGACCTTGTCTGTTGACGTGTTGTTTGCGTGGTGTTGGCGTTGTCTGTTGACGTGTTGTTTGGCGTTGTCTGTTGTTGCTTGGTGTGTTGGCGTTGTCTGTTGACGTGTTGTTTGCGTGGTGTTGGCGTTGTCTGTTGACGTGTTGTTTGCGTGGTGTTGGCGTTGTCTGTTGACGTGTTGTTTGCGTGGTGTTGGCGTTGTCTGTTGACGTGTTGTTTGCGTGGTGTTGGCGTTGTCTGTTGACGTGTTGTTTGCGTGGTGTTGGCGTTGTCTGTTGACGTGTTGTTTGCGTGGTGTTGGCGTTGTCTGTTGACGTGTTGTTTGCGTGGTGTTGGCGTTGTCTGTTGACGTGTTGTTTGCGTGGTGTTGGCGTTGTCTGTTGACGTGTTGTTTGCGTGGTGTTGGCGTTGTCTGTTGACGTGTTGTTTGCGTGGTGTTGGCGTTGTCTGTTGACGTGTTGTCAACGTTGTCTGACGATGTGTAGTTGACCTTGTCTGTTGACGTGTTGTTTACTTGTAGTTGACGTTGTCTGATGATGTGTTGTTAACGTTGGCTGCAGATGTGTTGTGAACATTGTCTGTTGATGTGTTATTTACCTGTAGTTGACGTTGCCTGATGATGTGTTATTGACGTCTGATGATGTGTTATTGACGTCTGATGATGTGTTGTTGACGTTGTCTGATGATGTGTTGTTGACCTTGTCTGTTGACGTGTTGTTGACGTTGTCTGATGATGTGTTGTTGACGTTGTCTGATGATGTGTTATTGACGTTGTCTGATGATGTGTTATTGACGTTGTCTGATGATGTGTTATTGACTTTGTCTGATGATGTTTTGTTGACGTTGGCTGATGATGTGTTGTTGACATGTTGTTGGCGTTTGACTGATAATGTGTAGTTGACCTTGTTGAAGTGTTGTTTAACTGCGGTTGACGTTGTCTATTGATGTGTTATTGACGTTGTCTGATGATGTGTTGTTTACCTGTAGTTGACCTTGTCTGATGACGGTTTGTTACTAAGGCATTATGACCACTGCCAGAAAACAGAAAAAAGCGGTGGGGGAGTAGGGATAACTTGATCATATCATGAACTTGTCATAAATATACACTGAAACGACTAAGAAGAAATAATAAAAACAGCAGAAGTAGAAGAGGAGAAAGACGAAAAAGAACAGAAGAAAAAAGAGGAGGGGGAGGATAGTTTTAAGTAGTGTCTGTATGTAGCCCTAATTGCTCACGTTGAAGACTCTACCATTTAAAACAAAATGGTTCCCCGTGTCAGTTCTGGGGTACCGTTGTGAGAAAAACAAGAATAAACCTACTACCTCCCCAACAATCATGTCGTAAGAGTAGACTAATTGGAAGCTTCCTTCAAAATCAGAGTGCATCTGCCCGAGAGGCAAGGTATTAACAAGTACAAGTAAGAAAGATCTGTAAAACGGATTCACACGCAAAACTCAGACCCTGGAACTAAGCCAAAGTTCAGAAATGGACGAACAACCAGGTCTTTCCTCCGGGGTTTACAGCCGGCGAACGTGAACAAACAAAACAAAACAAAATGGTAACTGCATGTGACAGCATTTATATTTCTTGTCTTGTCACACTGGTCGGTGTTCACAGACACCCAGGTATGTCCCATGTCACATTGGTCAGTGTTCACAAACACCCAGGTATGTCCCATGTCACACTGGTTGGTGTTCACAGACACCCAGGTATGTCCCATGTCACATTGGTCGGTGTTCACAGACACCCAGGTATGTCACACTGGTCGGTGTTCACAAACACCCAGGTATGTCCCATGTCACATTGGTCAGTGTTCACAAACACCCAGGTATGTCCCATGTCACACTGGTCGGTGTTCACAGACACCCAGGTATGTCCCATGTCACATTGGTCAGTGTTCACAAACACCCAGGTATGTCACACTGGTCGGTGTTCACAGACACCCAGGTATGTCCCATGTCACTTTGGTCAGTGTTCACAAACACCCAGGTATGTCACATGTCACATTGGTCAGTGTTCACAAACACCCAGGTATGTCCCATGTCACACTGGTCGGTGTTTACAGACACCCAGGTATGTCCCATGTCACATTGGTCGGTGTTCACAAACTCCCAGGTATGTCCCGTGTCACACTGGTCGGTGTTCACAAACACCCAGGTATGTCCCATGTCACACTAGTCGGTGTTTACAGACACCCAGGTATGTCCCATGTCACTCTGGTCGGTGTTCACAAACACCCAGGTATGTGCCATGTCACACTGGTCGGTGTTTACAGACACGCAGGTGTGTCCCATGTCACACTGATCAGTGTTCACAGACACACAGGTATGTCCCATGTCACATTGGTCGGACTTCACAGACACCCAGGTATGTCCCATGTCACACTGGTCGGTGTTCACAGACACCCAGGTATGTCCCATGTCACATTGGTCGGTGTTCACAGACACCCAGGTATGTCCCATGTCACATTGGTCAGTGTTCTCAGACACCCAGGTATGTCCCATGTCACATTGGTCGGTGTTCACAGACACCCAGGTATGTCCCATGTCACACTGATCAGTGTTCACAGACACCCAGGTATGTCCCATGTCACATTGGTCGGTGTTCACAGACACCCAGGTATGACCCATGTCACATTGGTCGGTGTTCACAGACACCCAGGTATGTCCCATGTCACATTGGTCGGTGTTCACAGACACCCAGGTATGTCCCATGTCACATTGGTCGGACTTCACAGACACCCAGGTATGTCCCATGTCACATTGGTCGGTGTTCACAGACACCCAGGTATGTCCCATGTCACATTGGTCGGTGTTCACAGACACCCAGGTATGTCCCATGTCACATTGGTCGGTGTTCACAGACACCCAGGTATGTCCCATGTCACACTGGTCTATGTTCACAGACACCCAGGTA